AAAGATGTAGCAATCTGTCTCATAATATTTTTGCCAACATGCATGCTTAAAAATTTGTGCTGCACTGAAAAGAAGAAAGAAGGCAAAGCATCTAAACTTAACTCAGGTCTGTGGACGGAGGGAAAACAGTAAACTTCATATTATTGTTTACATTTAGGCTTGGGGACAAGGGGAACTCGATGCAGTTCAGCTAAGGCTGTATTATCATCACAGAAGGGCAGGAGAAGGAGAACAGAGAGAATTTTTATCATCACAAAATTCCAATGGTTTTAAATGCATTGCTAGCTCTTCATGCTATCTGGTGATATATATTTCACTTGAGTCTGCAGGGATTTCAGAAGCATATCTAAACTTATCCTTTACATCTCTCATTATTCTGAGGAAGTCAACAGAAGTTGGATAAAAAGTAGAGATATGGCTAAATTAAACAGCTTTGCCAGCATCTATTGACAAAGTTCCTGACAGAGATAGAAAATGAACATGAAGACAACTCACATCCAAACCAACACACTTACAGCATGATTCCATAACTGGTTAGTCAAGAAAGTTTCGTTTCAGACGCTGATTTTTCTTTTTAAAAGGCACGGATGAGCCTGCATATGGAATGAGTCTCTGCAGTGTGTAGTCTGTCATCCAGCCATTAAAAAGCACACAGATCAGAATGGCCGCAACACACACAGTCTCTTGTCCCACCAACAGTTCAGGAATATCAACATCAATGGGAAGTGGCAGTCGCACAAATTTCTGAGAAACTGAGGATCGTGACTCTCCCACCTAGGAAACAGCTTATTATCAAACACAAACCATAATGAAATAAATCAAGATGACTCTTTAAAATGAAAATGTCCATCTAGCAGCATATAATAGAAAATCTATATTATGCAGGCTAAAACACAAATCAGACTACTTAAAACTACTCAGTCTGAATAGATTATCTTTCATTTATTACAGCTCTGTCAGCTATCATTGCATCTGTACTGTCTGAATTCATCTGCTGTTTAATCTTTGGTAGATAAATCATCTGGAAGTGGCAAAAAATTAGAGTAAATCAGAAAGTTTCAAGGGCTGATGCTCAAAAGAACAACAGGGAAAATAACACTCATCTTCCTGTTGAAAGCCCTCACAAAGTGCTTTTGGCCTAGTGACTTTATTGAAGAGGGTTTATCCAAACTTGCTTTTCAAGGAATACCGGCTTTAACACATTCATAAAAGAAAAGTAAAGTACTACAAATGTGTCACTTTCAACTACAGGGAAAAGCACTGTATTTTTTTTTTTTTGACCAAACTAATAAAATGGAAAATTAAGGTGTCAAACTACAACTGAATTAGTTAGAAAACCGTGTCAGATATTTAACTTCTTCCACAAACTGCAGAAAACCACCAGAGCCACCACACTCACACATCTGCACTCTTCCAAAATCCCCATTGCTCTTTGCTACATGCTTTTTCACTTCATACAGTTTCCCATATTCTTCACTTATCCTCACCAGCTGCACTCTTCTACCAACAGCTTCAGTCATTAAACTGAAATAGGAATCAAAAAATGTGTTTGACACTCTTCAAGAAATGAGGAAGACAGAGGCAGGAAGGATGGAAGAATAATTATAAAAAAAAAAATGTAACTATCTCTTGTGGTCAAATTTCTTCTGCTTGGCTGGCTAACTAAAGTGTGTGTGCATTTTTAAGAACTCAGAATCACCATCTCGAGGCTGGGAAACCAGTTCCAATGCTGTTTGAAGTGGCAGACTTTGCACCTTAAGTCTTCTGCAGGCAATTCATGTATTATACCCTGGAATACAGTTACACTGGAGCTAGAATAAACTTACACTGCAGAGTAACTATTAAGAATTATGTGTGCAAAGCATGTAGGGACTTTAAATACCACGCTTTGCTTTACCAGTATAAGCCAAGCATAAAAGGAAAAAAAAATGCAATTACATACATCAATCAGATTCCTATATTCAAAACACTGAAGAGAGGACCATGAAATATGCACCATTTAAAAACAACATTAACTGTCAAGCACCTAGTAGGCCACTTGCTTCAACCACTGGTGAATAAAGAGATTGGAATGAATCCAAAGTGCTAATTAAGCAAAACAACCAAGGCACAAGGCATCCTCCGGAATGATGAGTAGCTTTAATAGAAGTGACAGCATCAAAACTTTCACTACAGTAATTCACATGAACCCCAAACTAGTGGATGCCAAGGTAGCTAAAAATTACACAGAATTAATGTATCAATTTGCAAATTAAGAATGATAGAATCTAGCTCACTTACCTCAACAGCCAAAGTAGAAAGCTTTTAAGTATTTAAAACACAAAGGATTAGATTACTAAAGCTTCTTTCTGAATTTAATTGGGCAAGTATAACTTTTCAAGTAGTCCATCTGCCTAGAGCACAGCAGCTGTGATGGGAAGTAGAAAATGCTACAACAATATTTGGATAAATTCTCAAACAAAATGGTAAAAAGCCTCCAGTAATTAGTGGATGATATGAGAATTCAGAGCTTGACACCGGAACTTTATTTGGAGAAACTGTTTAACTTGTTTATTGTGTATATTTGTTTCCAGTGATTTAAGTGACTTAATGCTAGCATATCATGGAAGTGAGATTTGGTATTAATGTACATACTTATTTCCTTGATATCTTACGCAACATTTCTTTCTGCAGTGAAATCATCCAACACACATTTTCTTCTGAAACTTAATAATACAGTAATATCACATTATTACTTTGCTTAAATTATATTACATTTCCTAAATGTTACATGAGGCTACATAACAGTTTGCTATGTTCTGTCTAACAAGATCTTTCTCACTGCACCCACCTCATCAGTTCTTGTAAATTAAATATGGTAAAGTTAGCATAGCTTTTATTTAAGCATTGCACGAAGATAATGAAAGTAATGAAACCACTAGTGAATTAACAGGGAACAGGATTAACAGCAAATTAACACTATGCTGGGAATTTAGCCCCAGTCCTAACAATCACTGTAATCCTAAAAGCAAACTACGTTGGATTATTAAAAATTCCATGGAATATTTCCCATCTTTTTCATAAATTCCTCCTCTTACCCCCAATTCTATTCCAGCAGCTAGTTTCAGATTTAGCATAATTTAGTGAAAAAAAACAGATAATATGTTTTACATAGAGATACATCTCATGAATTTAAAAATTCAGGATTTAAAATCTGCTATGAGCTCAGCACTACTCATTGCACATACTGAATTTTGGCTCAAACTATTCTGGAAAGACTTAGGTAGAAGAATTCACATTTGTGAGGAAGTCTATCACACAGATTATTTAGGTAAGAAACAGCAAAACCATCCTTAACAGTGTAGAAATCTGGAGTGAGAAGTCCTGGCTAAAATGCACAGAAGTTAAATGTACATAATTTGAAGAAATTATATATGGCATACACTCACCTGTATGTCCTATCTCATGAAGCCATAACAGAATCTCAACTTGTAACAGAAGGGTTGCCAACAAAATTATAGCAAAGTAACTTACATTTTGACATAAGAATATGGAAGCATCAAGATTAGTCTTGGTCTATGTGATTGCTCATCCATCATACGTGAAGCTGTCTGCTCACACTGGTGAAGTACAAGACAGTTTTCACTTTTACTACCTTTATATTTTCTTGCTGCAGCTCTAATACATCACACAGTCATTAGCAACGCGTTGTTCCATGTCTTTCCCATACCCTGTCGTGCCACTGGTCAACACGTTCTAGCACATGGGCTCATACCAGGAGAGAGGAAACAGTACACCACACAAGCCTTCCGCCAGTAAAACATACCATTAAACAGCCGGGGGGGACTGCCTAGCTTAAAGGAACCAGCCATGTGTGCACTTGAGCACAAGTTTAGGAACTACCCATTCTGGCACTCAGTGCAGGGGATGCATCCATAATCTGCATTTGGAGGGACAATTCATTAGCACATAAAACTTCACTAATAGTAGCATTTTTATAGAATAAGTGAAGAGAACTTGAAAGCTGTCAATGCTCATTAGACCTTAACCTATGAATAAAATGTCTCTGTGAGAAACATAAATGAAGTGCCAGAATTGACAAATGGGACAAAGAGTTTCTTCTGGGAGTACAAAAAAAGATTGGTGGTTATATTACACTTGAAAAAGACTTAGATACTAGCAGGTAAAATTTGGTAACAGCTGGCTCCATAATCAAGTGTTATCTTACTTTTCTCCAGTCTTCCCAGTGCAATACATGATTGCTATGGCTACATTATTGTCCTAACTGTTTTTCAGAAATTGAAGTTTCAGTGGTCACTCAAAATGATTAATGTTTGTTTTCTCATGATGAGCTCTGGATTAATGTAACAAACCACAGCTTTACAGGCTAGTCTCCTGCATGCAAACTGAGTTGAACACTTTACACGTATGTGCAGCCAATTTCAGTCCTGATTCCCAAATAATTGATACTGCATGGGAAAGATTTCATATCCTCAGAAAAGGTTCCATTTGTATTAATCACATTTAAAAACAAGCTTCTTTTTCCTTGACCAAGAGTTGTACTCTGAACACTTTGAAATGAGCAACTCTAAAAAAAAAAAAAAAAAAATTAAAATTCTGAGTTTTGTTCAAACCTCAACTTGCCTCCAAGTTAAGAACTCCTATTTGTATAGTTCAGTTTTTTGATATTTCATCCATAACAAGATTTAATAACCATTTTCAAATCTGAAGATTTAAGTTTTAAGACCTATATTTGGAACCAGATGTGCAGGCCTGCACAAGTACTGATCACAAAGAGAAAACTACTCTTAATATTTTCTATCCATTTTTGGTGGTTTGTATTTCATGTTAAGAAAAGCTTAGGCACTTGAAAATTATAAAACATCTGTCAGTTTCTGCACAAATATTTCACTGTCAAAGTTACAAAATCACAGGAGATAAGAAGTTGTTAGTAGACTGCAGAAGAAAATTACAGTGTTTGGCATTTTGTTCATGTACAACTGTTGTCTTTTTACTTTCAGGAAACATTTCCTGTCATTCTACATTTGCTGGTTATTCAGTCTGGAGCACTCTTCTGATGCCAAAGTATTTACAGAACCTCCCCAAATGAAACAGTCCCTTGGATATGATTGGCCTTGTACTTACATGAACTGAAGTAACAAGTACACATCAGTAACTTTTCTCACCGAAACCCACTGGATGCTGTCTTTTTGCCCAGTCAAAAGTGGCTACATTTTGCTTAGCTGTTTGGGAAAATTAGTTTTATTTGCAATATTAAAAAGATGCCTGAAGAAGAAAAACTCTCTCTGAAGAAAGCAATTCAGTTTGGTGTTAATGTATTTATTCCAGCAGTAAAACTATGCAACAGAAATGAAAATGGCCCCTGAAGTTATTACGCTTGCTGTTTACACAACATGCAAATAAAACATATGTGACTGGTCCCTCGTAAAAAAAAGCTGCATCACTAATGGAGAGCTGACTGTCAAATAAGAGCCGTCAGAAAAGCCATAGACTCAACTTTAATTTAGTTAACTATAAGCATAATGACCTGTTGCAATTTTGTAATATGAAAATCATGTTAGCTTCTGAACATAAGGATTTCTGGATTCCCTACCTACAAGAAATCTTTCCTTAAATGAGATATTTCATTTCCTTATCTCAGTATTTGGTCTAATCAGCAATAGAATTCGGAAAAGCATCCCTAGAGAGAGAATGTCAGTTAAAAGTATACATAATAACAGCAAGAAGAATGAAAAGCTTAGCTTCTTCAGGAGCAAGGTATTCATTTGCAACTTAGGAACAATCTTAATATACAGGTCAAATGACAAATGAAATGGGTCGCAAAGAAGCACGTTACTTACAAACTTTAAATTGCGATTCAATGGATCAGCAAAACATGAAAATGCGCCCCGTGCTATTGAAGAGGAACAGTCTGGATTCAGCTGATTTTATAAGGCAGCCACACCACCGCAGGACCAAATCTCAGCAAGTCCGATTCAAGGATGATGGTGTGAACGCAAAGACAGAACTGGATACTAATCCTGCCGAAGATATAGCGTTCACAACAGGAAAAACAGAAATATTTTGGGATCACAATTTTTTGCTACATCAATCTCCATCTTTTCCAAGGGCTCAGAAGGGGCTTCGGAATATTGCCATACAAACATCTCCTAGCCTCAGGAAACACTTCCCAGTTTTTAAAAAGAAAAAGCTGACAGTAAGCAAATCATTAACAGAAATGCCAGCCGAGCCTGCAAATTCTATCCAAGTAAATGGCAATTTTTCTGAACAAAACATGTCTTCAGATCTCTGTTACTTAAGAATAACTAATCATTTGGAAGATGGATTTGGGAATAGTGATGTAGATGTTCACTTAAGTCAAAGGCCATCAAAAGCACAGAGCAATGGATCCATCCACTCTGATGATTTCTCAGTATTGGAGAAGACAACTGTTTCTACACAGGTGCCTGAATACATACATGTGAGTTTTCCACATGACAGCAATGTTTCCATGGATACACCAGACACAACCATGACTTTAAGTAATTCACTGCATTCTTCTACTGTCACAAATAGCAATGAAAATAATGAGAACAGCACGTTGTCATCTAATTCTGAAAAAGCATACCCTTGCCTAAGCAATTCTAACTGCACTGAATGCAATCCTCATTCTGACTCTTGTGAAGCAGATAAAAGTGATTTTGCGTCCGTTGTAGCCAGCAAAGATGCAAGCAGTAAGGAAACTACTCCATTCTCACCTTCATCAAATCACAGTTCATCTCCTTGTTTCCTCAGAGACTATCAACAGGCAGGAGAGCACAAAACAGATTCCAGCTGTGTGACATTAACAAATGATGATCACACAACAGTGTCACTGACCAGCAGTAATGCATCAAAATCTATTCTGTCATGTAATACTGAAATCGAGAAAAAATCTACCCAGTCAGATGTTTCCCAATGTAAGAGCTGTTTAGAAGGATTTCACATAAAGTCTTATCTGCCAAGGAATGAATTAAAACCACAAAGCAACAAAGAGATTAGTGAAATAAATAAAATTCATTTGGCACATGGAGAACTCTGTGCCCTACAAGGCAGGCTGCAGTCTGTAGAGGAATCCTTGCAGTCGAACCAGGAGAAGATTAAAGTCCTTTTGAATGTAATTCAAGACCTGGAAAAATCCAGAGCCCTCAGTGAAGGGTATGGTGCATTTTAATATTAGTAATTCATTAGAAGTGTAAAACAGATGTTAGCCTTCTTTGAACCTTTGCTACTGAAAAAGTCTTTCCTGTGATATTTAAAGATGAGTTTGCAAAAATGGTATCTTACACTTTTTTCTGATATTTGGGCCTCAGTAGAAAAGCAAGCCTCTGCAGCTTGGCTTTAGCTGACGCTGCCTTTACTAAACCCAGTGTGAGACACAGTTAATTAACTCTTTTTAATTTAGATTTATGGTGTCAGATACAAAGCCACTGACACCTGCAAGTTGGCAGTCTCCATCTAGCTAAAATCTGTATGCAGTAAAACAGCAAAACCCAACAGTCTAACGTACTAATGTAGTACAACAGAAACCTAAGGCAAGACAGCTATCTCTTACAAGCAAGGTCAGACATATATTTAGTGCCAAAGCAGTCCTACTGCTAAAACAGTTTATGTCAGCAAACCCATGCTTCTGTCCAATAAATTATTACTGTCATTATAAGCAAGCAAAAGGATTAGTGGCTAAAGCATAGCATCTGCAGACATCTGGGGACCACACTGCTAGTTGCATTTCATGATACCACAAACAACTTAGGTGCTTAAAGGGAGTGCCTTAAGCATAGGAAACGGCACAATGCCAGGTAACCTTCAAGAGCTTCAGTATGTCAGGAAGATTTCATGGGAGGTGAGTGCTCAAAAGGGATTAAAACTATGAACATACAGCATGTGAAGACTGTTAGCAAGAACTCACTTTGGCATCTCAGATTTCAGAATGATTGTTTTCTGCACTACACAAGAAGGCATGACCTGGGTTTATTCTCAGTATGCTCTCATACTGACTATTAGTCAAGGCTGCAAATGTTATTTATGTAACTTATTTATGCATTATAAATAATAACACTATAAATGCAACTAATGTCTAAATATTGGCCACCTTTACGGGATAAGGTTAAAATATAATTTTAAATATTTCTATGCTCAAAACAGGTTTTAGAATATCCTAATAACGCTTTCCAAACCATTAACAGCAGCTCCTACTTACAGTAAATGCATCTAAGATACATTTTAAAGTTTTGTTTTTTGACAATGTAGTATATCCTTTTTTTTTTTTTTTTCAAAAAACAAACAAGTATTTCAAAGTATCAAGAGACTAAAAGGTCCATTTTACTTTATGTTTAAAGATAAACCAACATGAAGTCTATGTTAAGATACATTTACTTTTATACTTAGCACACATAGCTTAGGCTTCTAGAATAATCATTCATGTGCAACTGTTTTTTGAGTAAAACTGCATCCTTAATGTTAAAATCAGATCATGTGTATCGATAGTATTTACTAACTATAATTAAGGAATAAATCCGATAATCTTCCACATTTCCACAAACTCTGCTGCAAACATGACAAAAAGGCAGCTCCACTGAGATTTTTTGTGTAGGTTCAGTTGCATAGAAATAGCACAGAACGTGACACCGACTTGGTTACATGATTCAGAACCAGGTCTTTGCACTTGTTCCTGTGTGGACTGAAATGGTTTGTATGGCTGTGCAAAAACTGTCAGGATAGAACTAACTGAAGCCACAGTTTTGTACGCCCCAGTTTTCTTACAATACCTGAGGAAAACTAAATCTCTCTTGAAGAATTCTTTCTTTCTTGAGGTATTCCATCTGGGAATTGAAATTACCTTCCTTCATTTCTGATTAGTAATTCTTTAACTCACACTCCACATACAAATTTACACTCTTAAAAAAATAAAAAGAATATAAATCAAGTTAATTTTCCTCTGTACAGATTACCTTTTTTATCTGGAAACATTAACCAGTGAAGTCCATCCTACTATTAGTATGGAAGTACTTCTGTTAGTTTCCACTGTGCCACATAAATATTTATTCCATGTGACATTTTTCCCATATAATTCAGCTCCAACTATCCTCTCTCAAAGGGTAGTTCTCAGTCATTTTTCACTATATGAAAAGCCCATACAATTTTCTAGCAGCACTTCTGTAATAGCCTAGACACAACTGACAAAATCCATGTAGACATACTGACAGCAAAAAAAGCAAAAACGTTTTTAAAACACAAAAATCCAAAAGTTCAGTTTAGAAGCAAGATCTGAGGTGGGGCAGGGAGGAGGGGGGCAAAAAAAATCCACGTCACATTTAAGCAATCACTTGTCTATAGTATGTTTCATACAAATACCAGCTGACTACAGTTCTTTGGAAAATTAAAGAAAAAAAAATACCCACTCCTCCTCTCCTGCATGTATTTATGTATGACAGAGGGGATGAGTTCCAATTATGTTTGCAAATATGACCATTACAAAGAATAACTTGCAGTAAAACACAGATTATTCAGCAGTATTTGTAGTCCATTTCTGTTCAGCTACCATGTGGTTGAAAACAAAAATTTTGACAAATATCTTTAAGTTTCACATGGAGAATCAATTATAAGCTTCAATCCATCTTGTTAGAATCATCTAGTAGTAAAACTGAACATTCCAGGTACTTGCAGAAGTAGCACAACACCAGATATGAAGAACCTCCACTTAGATTCCAAAATTTATCAGAAAACTATTTTGGCATCAACTGAACTCCCCTAATTCAAATAAAACTCATTAAACTTAAGTGTTGTGAATCCTTCAGAAGTAATGAGACACCAACCTCAAACTGTTTCTAATGCAGACCTCTCCACTATAAAAATAATTCAACTGTAGTTGGTGTTAAGTATGAAAGTCACTTCTTTTGGTTTCTCAACACTCCAACTTTGTATACTATCAGCAGTAAACATCGGACTTGTTTATACTCAAGTGAAGAAACACAAGAAGGGGAACGAATGGAAGGCCTAAGTGTAGAGGTCAGATTGATTCACCAAGAACACGGATATTAAAATACTTTGAAGTGTGTTTACGAGAAGCAGTCAAATGTATAAGCGTATTCATAACAAGCGTTCATGCAAGAAAGAACAACCAGAATCTTAACAGCATGAGGTGGGAAAGATTCAAGACAAAAACATAAATCAACATAGGGTTTCAGTTCTTTAAAGCAACCTTCTAATTTAGCATTTGACACTAGAATTTTTAGTAAGGATAATAGAAGTGGTGAACAGATTTATTTTTATTCATGAAAGATTCAGAGATCTGTAATATGTCTACAATTACACAATACCTGAACTACTGTCTATTACAGGCGGAACTTCTATCACACGGGGCAAGACCTCAACAACTGCAGCACCTGTCAGAACACCGCATGTATCATTTACAGGTACTTCACTCCCTGACAATTTTGTATCGTCTGTATATCTCTCACAAAGGTACACTACAATGTTTTGTTCACAGCTATATAAAAAGTCTCTATTATTAATCCAGTTTTTAACAAAAAAACAAGTGGTATGTGTGAGGTGGTTGGTTTGTTTTCCCAAGTAGAAAACCATTATCTGTTATCTGAAAGAGGTATTGTACTTCTGAGAATTCAAATAGAAATTTCGCTCTAATGCTTCATGGCATTATTACTACTAGCATGCTCTGAAAACCTTTGATGCCATTTCTGATTATGAAATTCCCCTTGTGTGTTACATTTTTAAAGCTAGGATTTCTGTAATAAATTTAGATCTTGGAGAAGATAAACACTCAATTCTCCAAATGCCAGTAAGCTATAGCTGAAGTTCATGTTTATGTGCCAAACAAAAACTGAACTCCCACGCTTCTCACTTCAGTAAATGTTTACTTGTTATTATTTTGAGAGAGTGCAATTTGAGTGTAAGTTACTCCAAATTTAAACTGCAGTTTATGTTAAACTCTTACTACCCACAAGACTTTGTAGCACTGTGTTCCAGAAGCTGTATGTGTTTCAAATGCTGTGTCTGTACAAACACACTGTAAGAATCTTTAGCTTGCCAGCCATTCACCAAAAATCTACCAGGTGCAGTCTTGGCTATACTGCACATGCAGCTTGTCCACTCCGCAAGGGATTTTGTAGAGCTTCCACCAACTCGTGAACACCTTCTCTAATCTCTGCAACCTCAGTTATGAGGCAGAAAACACAAAGCTTCAGTTATTTGTTCTGTAAGATCCATTGGGCTCTTCACAGAACATTAAGTAACATATTGCACAAATGCAGCAGTATCAAAGATGGAGCTCACACTTCAATTTTTAGATCCCTTCCAGTACTGCCATACACTGCAGACTTAGAGGAATGAATAGGAAGATGAACGCATGGTCAAAATTTACATGTGATATCTTAGGCCCCATTTGGAGAGGTAGAGAATATATATTTTAAACAAAGGTAATGGAGAAATTATAACACTGGTATTTTAAGCCAGGCTTTTTTTGACTCCTTTTTTGTGAGGGACACTTAAAGGACTCTGTAGCTGATGAGTTAATTATTTAAATTGCATGCTCATTTTCCTTGCCACACATATCACATTTCTGATGTGCTGTACTGTTTTGAAGTTTATTTTTATTAAAAAGCTCAGTGGAAAATGAAGTCACATATTGTGAAGATCAGGTACTGAAGTTAGACATGATGCTGCAAAATAGTAAGTTGATTTATAAAACATCCCCTAGAATTTTTTTATACCTTCAAAGATATTCATATATATTAGTATTCCAGAGATTTTAGGTATTTAAGCATGCTTACATTTACAAAAATAAAGGATAATAGAATTTCTCTTTTAGGTTGAAAATTTTCCTTTTTTTCAAACAATATGGCAGACCATTTGCTTTGCCAGTTTGTAAGCACTATGACTTCAAATTTTTTTATGGATATAATGAATGCACTATAACCACTTGGAAGTGTTCTTTACACTACATTTTCTACATGAGCCACATTTAAATACAGGAAAGATCCTGAGCAACAAGCACAAGTATCTGAAGGAATGAATGGAGGAAGTAACAAAATATTGATGTGTCTTTTTGATTTACTAGGTATTTCATAATGATAACAGTGCCTAGAGGTTTACAGTGCAATGATTAGTAGAATACACACAAAGAACACAGTGCCTCTAAAGAGCTTCTAGTTTTAAGAGAAAAAACGGGAGACAGCAAGGAAGCATAATAGTTTTCACTTTAAAGAGATGTTCCACAAGACGTAGTCATGAATAAAGCATTCTGAATAACGGGTATTTGAAGTTCGTAACATATTCATTAGACAACGTTCTGAAAGAAGTAACTGTTACCAGTTTTTCTCTTGACAAACCCATGCAATTCCTGTGTTTTATGTAGCCTAAAAGATCCACGCAAGCATTTTTTCCACTAATCTAGCATGACTGTTGTCATTAATTATAAAATCAAGCATTTAATCTTGTTCCCTGTTTTCTTGCTCTTGAAGAACCTAAGTCAGTGATTCAAACACTGCACAAGCAGAATGTTGGGTTACTGTCACTGAACCATCTTTATCATTCCCATTTTAAGCAGTCCCTGAGTCTAACAATATCCTAATCTCCTATCAATCCAAGTGTGAATGACACTGTTTGGTGAAGTAATAAAGAGCTTTTCAGTCTAGCAGTGACTGGTTATATCGTGGCTGTATGTTCAGCTTTATTAACTATCCAGCAGGTTTATGTGAGCTGACTTGGTAGTTTCAGTCTAGATCCTGTATGACAAATGTTTGTATTATAATAAACACCTCCAAGTAGCAAGCAAAACCAAAGTTATCTCAGCAGATAAGGGACAGTAACTGACCTCTTGCCTCTAGAGATGACATCCTCAACATTAAATCAGACACTTTGAAGGGAAGAAAAAAAAATAACATGAGCAGATGCTATCCTTATGTATGCTATAAACTGAACATTTCATTCTCAGCACTTGTGATCTGTGACTGCCAAGAAGTATTAAATCGCAGCTTTAGCAATAAACTCTTAAAATTGAAGAGGCACTAATTAAATTTGTCATTTATATCACTTTTTTCTACTTCTTTTATATTTATTATGTATTGCTTTGTCCAAGTATCTCTCTGCAGTTCTTCTTAATTACAATAATCCTATTGCTTTCTTTTTGCCAGTTAATTTCATTAAAAACCCCAAAACATATTAATAATAAAGGGAAACAAGCTTCTAGTTAGTTTTAAAGTATTATTCAACAATGCTTATGGATTTCTATATAGATATAAATACTCACAATTAATAGTGTTTAAAGATACACATATTTACAGATTTTACAGGTTTCTTCTACTCAGTGCCCAAATCAGGTTCAGGGCTTTAACATGATATCCCAACATCCTTCTGACGGTGCCTTTTTCCTCCCAAAGAGCTTGCATTATGAAAAATACAACCAGCTCCTCTCAACTCCCCTCCACCTGCTAAAACCTCCACAGCAGACGTGGCTGATACAACTCCCACTTTCATACCCAGAAAAGATGGTTGAAATCAAGAAAAAACATACAGCACTTCATCTTCTTGATTTGCTGCTTTTTCTTTGTTTGTTTTTATTTAACTGTACTGGTTGCATCAGGCTGCTTAATCACTGTCCACATATGTTCTTTTGAACCTTACATTTATTTGTGTACACATATCTGCTCTTAGGTAATTAACATCTTGGCTCTCACTTGACGTCAATAATAATTATGGCTTGTAATGGAGAACATGAGTGACATTCTAGTTTGCTGCCAACTAATACCAGTTACCTCAAAGACTTACATATTGGCTGGATTTCATATATTTTTATTCCTAGCAGGTCTCCTAGAGGGAAACATTTACATTTAATGAAGTTAAGCATGTGAGAGTTCTGAACTCATGCCAAGCATACAACTGAGTTAGATTCCAGTATCAAAATAATATGAACAAAATGCACTGAAAGGTCATCCTAGTACATTTTAATTTTTTCTCCTTTAATTTTTGTCTCATTGTTTTGTGCACAAGGCTGGAGTTCTTAACTCGTGTAAAAAAGGTTACCCTCAGAAAAAAATTAAGAGATTAACTGATTTTCAAAGCAGCAATCTATACAGCCTTTTAACTACACTCTAATATTGAATAATGTCAAATACTTCTAATGAGGTAAGCATCCTTTCCACATGTTTTTTAAAGAGGGAATTTCTCACCTACTAGCTTAAATCTTTTCATTTTTCCATAGTGTAGAATATGACTTCAGACAACAAGAAGGAAGATTTCATCAGATTTTGAAAATGCTGGATCACGCAGAGCAAAATCCAGGTTCAGCTTCACCTCAGAAACTGCCACCTGATCACCCAGCTCCCGAGAAAAAGGAGTTAAGAAGAAAAACAAAAAAGGTGAAAAGAAAGTGCTTCTGGTGGATTTGACTTCCTTATGGATCCTTTTACATTTCAAAAGACACTAGAACAGAAAGAGGTTTGAAAGCACACACCTGAAAATGTGCTATTATGAAATCACAAAGCTAAAGAATGTTTAATTAGAGTATCTGAAAAATCAAAAGAATTGAATTTACTTACATCATCTCATAGAAAAAAGGCGCATCAAAAAGAAAACGTTACTTTCAAAAGGAAGCTTTCTCATTTTTCCAAGGACACATTCATATGCTCTGTAAAGATTTTTTTTTTTCCAACTTTCCAAAAATAACAAGGTTTAAATCTATACTTTAAGTAACAATGGTAGACAAAGCTAAGAGTGTCACACAGTCTTCATTTCCCATTTATAAGCAACATGGACTAAAAGGGAAGAACTTAATTGATCTTTAAACAAACCACATAATCAAGAACAGATTCAGGGGAATCTACGTTTTTCAAACAGATCTCGAAGGAGACTATTACAATTATTTCACATCGTCACTGAAAAATTTTGTGTTGCTATCATCTAATATTTAACAACAACAAAAAAGAATTTCAGGGTAAGTTTCACTCTGTCCTTTTATTGGTTCATTTTAAAAAGCAACCATTTAGAAGTTTCAGCCATTTAATAGACTTCTCTGAAAAGAATCATAAAAGAAGATAATATCTCAGTAGTCTTAACCCCCTAGACAAGCAAGGTCCAGTTAGGTGAATTTGAGTTTTGAGTATCTTCAAATACAAGAATCCATAACCCCTTGGGCAAGCTTCTTCCCAAATTTTCCAATTTTTTTCGTAATACCTAATCTGAATTTCCAATGTTGTAACTTGTGTCCATTACATTTTGCCCTACCCAAATACACTTTCAAGGAGAATTGGACAGATAGTAAGACCTCTCTCCTAAGCCTTCACTTATTAAAGACTGAACAAATCCAATTTTCACTGCTTCTCTTCACATGTTATGTGCAGCCCACAGTCACCTTGATGGTCTCCCTCCAGTAAGTTGATGACTTTCATCTATCTGGAAGCCTGAAGGTGGATCCAATGCCTTGGATGTCCTCACACAATTACTGAATACATGGGAATAACAACTTTGGCTACTGTCCTGCTAAACTGCTTGCCCAATTTGCCCATTTAAGACCTGTATCACTATACCAAAACATCCCAAGGTGTGAGCTTTTGGCCTTAAAATATAAGTTGATACACAATACAAAATTGACCATATAAATAATATTTAATAAACTTATCTGTATTATATTAACAAATATATATTCTGGAAAGATTTTTATCAGATGTCAGCGCAACTATTTCTTTTCTTCAAAAATAGTTACCAGCTAGCACAGGGTATGACAATAACCTAATTTAGAGTTCATGATACTATTATTTTGCTCATGAAGATATGGTCAACTTTCATAGGGGGGGTGAGGGGGAAAATTTTTCCAAAGCAAGTTTAAAGGGCACACTGTAAAGCCTCAATAATGTATTTTATGTTTAGTGGAATGTACTGCAAACCTTTTCTTAGAAGTGACTCTGGTTAATTAGTCCAAATGGTGCCAGGGTATTCAGTAGATTAACCCCTGGATCCTATTTTTCTAAATCTTATTGTATTAACTGTTTGATGTCAATTAAAAATGTCTGTACACTTTTTGTACACTTTTGTGTTCCTTGAATTCTTAGGGTTAATTACACATTTGAAAACACATTAAAAACAATTTTGCACAGAAGAATTTTGTCTGGAAGAAGTCAGTTTTTTGATAAAACCTGTCTTCATTTCTAAGAGTATGCTATGTGACATGGCTTAATTTATCAAAATTCTGAAGGACTGTCAGTTTTAAATAACAATTTCACGTTAAGTTCAGTCAGTATGGAAGTGACAAGCACAAAATTACCATTATTTTAGAGGCTTTTTAGAAGAAAAGCCTTATAGAAATTTTTACTAGCAAAAAAAGATGCTGTTAGTGAGACAGAAATGGGTATAATTAAGGTAATAATTAAATGATTACATCAGAACACATCATTACATGACACTCAAATACATCTGCTGCTTATGCTGCTGTGCCGACAACATTCCTATTTTGCATTAGTCTCTGATATGGATTTATTTGTGTGTAAATGATCTTCTGCATTAACATTTTAAGACTAATATCCTCTGTGGGGAAGGTATAATAAGCAGCAACACTAACAGGTATAACACTAGCAAAACCAGTAAGGTTTTTTTTGGTAGTAAACTAGTTTTCAATAATTTGTTATTATATAAAACCAGTCTTTTTGTCTGTCTTTTTGATAAGCACAAAAAAGCTCATTTTAACTTGTCTGATTTTGGTTTAGTGTACATAATGAATATGATGCCTTCAATACATTTTCAAAGGATCCAGATTATTCAATTTAAAGAAACCACTGTGTTTCAGTTTACCACACAGCACCAATCAATTCCTGGGGTCAAGAAAGCTATACAAGAACAGAAACACTCCATTTAGTTTAAGAAAGTCCAACCAAAGACAGTTATAAGTAAGACTCTAAGACTTTCCTGTGACCTGAACAAACATCAATACTTCTGAAAAACTGAAATATACCTATTTAAATAGCTACAGATTTTACATTTTCATATCTGATCTAGATGGAATTCAGAACTGTAGATACTTTTTAATCCTTAAATTCCCAGTCAAAATTAGCCTTTGTTTTCCATATTTCTCAACTTGTTGTTTTTCAATTCTCTCTCAAACAGTACACTATGGATCATCCATATATGGATATGAAATTTTCCTTTTAACATATGCACACACAGCAGTAGGGAAACACTTAAGGTATCTAGGCCAGCTGACCCTCAGCTCCCAATGCTGCAATTTAAGAACATTCACTTGTCTTTCAGCCTACCCTCTGTTTGGTGTTTTCAAATTCAGCCCATTCAAGACAACTGCTTTCCTTGAAAGAAAATATAAATTTACAGTGCTGCTAAAGCACTGTCCTACAGAAAGGTTACTCCTAGAGTTCTCTACTTCAGGACTTCAGTACAACAAAGGAGATTTTTTGGAGTCAGCAGTAGTATCAATACTTAGCCAAGTTCTACAATATATATTTAAGATCCAAACAAAAGGCTTATCTGAAACAAAGACAGAACTCCCTCATTCTTCTGGCAGAGGTTCTGACTACCATGACCAAAAACATGCAGTAGTTTAACTGAAAACAAAATAAAAGTATGCCAGAAATAAATTATTCCTACAATAGAATTAGCACTGTAGTTTCACAATAAAGCTGCACCTACTAAATACAAGATGCTGTTATACCCAGTGTTCTCCACAGTATGTCACACACAATAGGCTTTCTACATAAAATTTTTAAAAGAACATTGGAGCAAAAGGTTATTTGTTACATTAACAGTGGGAAAGAGTCAGCCATGGTATGCATCAGCCACAGCAATAGAGCAAGACTGCTTAGTTGCTGTATGATTTGTTTAGATTTAACAGAAATTTGTATATCCTAGCAACAGAAAATACCCAAAATATAATAGCTTTGTAACACATAATTGGACAATCTAAGCTATGTGAAAGTGGAATATGTAAGCATTGCTTTTTGGTTTATGGTTTAATATTTCCAAAATATTTTAGTTATACATTATTAATTCATATAGGAAATTAAAAAAATACCAGATACACATTACGCAATTTATGATGTCAAGATTGGAAAAGCAATAGAAATTGGTAGATTGTTAGAAGATAATAGTAGTAGTTATAAAAATTTCTCTGATTTAGAAAATTGTGGTGTAATAACTAAAACCAGCTCCCAGAGTAGGAAATAAATGTTTGATTCTAACACATTCTTAAATAAATTAAAAAAAAAAAAAAGCAAAAAACACAAACCATCTACAGAAAAAAATCGAACCCACAGCTACTTCACAGCACCTGCATACAAAATATTGTACACTTTTTTGAAAGACATATTTAAATGACAATTCCAATATGCTATTTTTAAAACATTGCACAGAACATGGCTTATTCCAAAATTAATGTATTTGAAATTGTTGTTTTATGGATTCAACCTAACTTCCTTAAAAAATTCAGAATGTATGAATAAAATAACTGATTTCTCTGTCATGTAACAGCAGTTCCTGTAGGACTGTTTGCAGTTTTGCACACTATATCTCTTTCCGAAGGGCCACAATACTTAGTTGTGCTAGCTTAGACACAAAACACCTTCCTAATGAACTGTATTATCTAATGTATGCTTTATAAATGTATAGATTCTTCAAATGTGATGTTATCTTTTGCAATGAAATACGATTTTTTTTCTTAGGTTGTTGGAATCAATAACAATATTTAGATTGCAAAGGAAGTGAACAATAGTTCTTTGGAAAAAGAAAAATTAATTGGAAATTAATAAATAGGTCTTTCATGGAACCATCCTGCAGCTTTTCTAGATAGAGAAAGGATTTGAATCTGAATTTGAAACCTGAATAAAAAAGCTGTAACTTCTAGCTACAGCATGTGTATATTTGAATACATCATATTGTCTGGCCACAGAAGCTCTGCAGAATTGTCTCTCTGGTCATTATTTCTCCCGAGAGTATTGTTTTTTTGCAGAACTATGCTATCTAGAGTAGCTTTGATTTGTAGAGCACAGTAGTTGCTTTTTTTTCCAGTAAAGTCTTTATTTGTACAATGCCTTATATAAATGGGCTAAAGACTTTTCTGTCTAACAGAACTACACTCTTTTCATCTTGCTAAACTGATATTGTGAACGAAATCAAGTTTGGGAATACCAAAGGAAAGCTTTAAAATTTATATGGTGCACTTATATTCTTGTTTACCTAACAAAGCCAATACCAAAACCAAGTACTTCTGTATCCTACACACTTCTATACATTTTACTTCTCTAATTACTGTAATAGGACTTCACTGCATGACAACACCCTTTAACTAAAAGTCTAAATTTCATAAAGTATTCAAGATAAAGCTTGAGTAGCTAATTTCAGACAACAAACTTGTCCCCCTCTGTTACAAGTTTAGCAGCACTTCAACTACAGTCAAGGTGCCTTTTTTTTTTTTTTTAACAGTGAAAATAATCAAGCAGGTGTTAAAGCCTTCAACTGCCAAAATGTCACAAATAAGGCAAGAGTGATATTGAAGTAAGTCTTCTCTGCAGTAGTTGCAGAGATCCAAATTAGTTCTCCATCACCAACACCTTCTCCTGAAGGGATTATGATCTTCCTAGCCTCTTTCCAGTAATTACAGGAACAAAGCTCACAGCATGCTGTTACCAGCTGCGCAAAAGGCAGCACCTTCCCTTAGATTCAACTGGCACTGTAGCAAGAAAAGGTGAAAGCAACTGTAACCCAAAATCCTTTAACTCTTCCTCTGCGAACAAGCTAGAAGATTGTGAAAACAGCACTTCAATACGAAAATTAACCTGCTTATTGCTGCCAGAAAGCAAAAGCACTGAGGTAAATAAAATACAGTACTCTCTCTGGTACAAGACATTTGAATTTGCAAGGAATTGTGAATTGTAACCATTGTTTTTATTAGTATAACACAGTATTAGCATTGTTTTTCACACTATTTTCAAATTCTAGAAAATTATGTGGCAGAAGATAATAAAAATACTTGCAATATTCAGAAACATAGTAACAGATTAAAGATTCTAAGGAATAACCTTCTCTTCTCCTGGAAGAAACAGATGTAGTCAAATTTAAATGTCATTCTTATCCATATAACACCAGATACATAGTCTGCCTGCAGCTATTCCATACGTCCCACCTGTAGTTGCAGACTTCACCATACTTTTAGCAGCTTTAGCTCACCCAAGCTCTCTGCAGAAGGCCATCAAACCTGACTATCTGCTTAATTTTTAAAAGATTAAGCATTAAGTATTTCAAGAAGTTTGGCCCTCTCACCAAGTTTTAAAGCAAAAACTGACTGAACTAAAGGTAGTACACAGAGCATGGAACAAGATTATATTGCCAGTTCTTTCTGAATGCATAAGGCTATTTCATTCACTACAAACAATTTCTTGACATGTCACATGTAAAAGACTACTCTATTGAAAGATCTTGCCTCAGCTCTAGAAAACTTTGTAATTTATTGGGATTTTCCTTTGAAAAACCTCTAAAATGCCCAATAAACACATATGCATAGGTGCTTATGAGCATTATTATCCTTCAGACATCTGCATTTCAAAATTCACACTGGATTTAATCTTTTTAGGTAAAAACAGCTGAACAAGTTACAGTAGATGAGAAAAAAAACCCCAACCAAATAACCAAACAACAACAAAAAGAAAACGAAACCAAAAATATTTTCCAAGCCATTTCAATTGTCTGTAACCAGCTTGTTTCCCAATGATTTCCTAATGTTTCCTACAGTTTCATTGTGCTTCTTCATTTATTGTTTATGGTATCCAGAAATACTCCTTAATATATTGATTACATTATCCATGACACTCATATGATGCTTTCTTTATAAGTACATAAAACATTTTCAAACACTGTAGAGAACTAAAAGGTTTACTGGGTCTTCATTCAAAACCTCTTCTTTTTATGACCATGTAAATATGCCAGAAGGTTACAGGCTGAATAACAACAGAGTGGAGCTCCGATAATCAATTTATCATAGGATTTCTGACACTTGCAGATCCACCAAAAGGAAGGTGGAAGCAACCACTGGCAAATATCTCCCCTGAACTCAATTATTAGGAGACACATACGATCTGACTGGCAATGATCTAAAAT